GCAGTCCTGACCAGCCCTGCACAACGGACCAAGCCGGACTCCCCAGGACACGGGACCGCAAACTTACCAAAATGTGGACTTGACTCCGAACCGAGCCGGAGAGTGTAGAGTGCTCCAGTGTCCACGACGAGAAGAAGCCCACTCGGACTCCATATCTCCAGCCTCCCCTACAGGAGGTCTAAACTAGATCTAAACCAGGACTAAACCAGGTCTAAACCAGGTTAAAACCAGGTCTAAACCAGGTCTAAACCAGGACTAAACCAGGACTAAACCAGGTCTAAACCAGGTCTAAACTAAACAGGTAAACCAGGTCTAAACCAGGTCTAAACCAGGTCTAAACCAGGACTAAACCAGGTCTAAACCAGGTCTAAACCAGGTAAACCAGGTCTAAACCAGGTCTAAACCAGGTCTAAACCAGGACTAAACCAGGTTAAACCAGGTCTAAACCAGGTCTAAACCAGGACTAAACCAGGTCTAAACCAGGTCTAAACCAGGACTAAACCAGGTCTAAACCAGGTCTAAACCAGGTCTAAACCAGGACTAAACCAGGTCTAAACCAGGTCTAAACCAGGACTAAACCAGGTCTAAACCAGGTCTAAAACCAGGACTAAACCAGGTCTAAACCAGGTCTAAACCAGGTTAAACCAGGACTAAACCAGGGTCTAAACCAGGTCTAAACCAGGTCTAAACCAGACTAAACCAGGTCTAAACCAGGACTAAACCATAAACCAGGTCTAAAACCAGGTCTAAACCAGGTCTAAACCAGGACTAAACCAGGTCTAAAACCAGGTCTAAACCAGGACTAAACCAGGTCTAAACCAGGTCTAAACCAGGTCTAAACCAGGTCTAAAACCAGGACTAAACCAGGACTAAACCAGGTCTAAACCAGGTCTAAACCAGGTCTAAACCAGGTCTAAACCAGGTCTAAACCAGGTCTAAACCAGGAACTAAACCAGGTCTAAACCAGGTCTAAAACCAGGTCTAAACCAGGACTAAACCAGGTCTAAACCAGGTCTAAACCAGGACTAAACCAGGTCTAAACCAGGTCTAAACCAGGTCTAAAACCAGGACTAAACCAGGTCTAAACCAGGTCTAAACCAGGACTAAACCAGTCTAAACCAGGTCTAAACCAGGTCTAAACCAGGACTAAACCAGGTCTAAACCAGGTCTAAACCAGGTCTAAACCAGGTCTAAACCAGGACTAAACCAGGACTAAACCAGGTCTAAACCAGGACTAAACCAGGTCTAAACCAGGACTAAACCAGGTCTAAACCAGGTCTAAACCAGGTCTAAACCAGGACTAAACCAGGTCTAAACCAGGTCTAAACCAGGACTAAACCAGGTCTAAACCAGGTCTAAACCAGGTCTAAACCAGGACTAAACCAGGTCTAAACCAGGTCTAAACCAGGACTAAACCAGGTCTAAACCAGGTCTAAACCAGGTCTAAACCAGGACTAAACCAGGTCTAAACCAGGTCTAAACCAGGTCTAAACCAGGTCTAAACCAGGTCTAAACCAGGACTAAACCAGGTCTAAACCAGGTCTAAAACCAGGTCTAAACCAGGACTAAAACCAGGTCTAAACCAGGTCTAAACCAGGTCTAAACCAGGACTAAACCAGGTCTAAACCAGGTCTAAACCAGGTCTAAACCAGGTCTAAACCAGGTCTAAACCAGGACTAAACCAGGTCTAAACCAGGACTAAACCAGGTCTAAACCAGGTCTAAACCTAGACTAAACCAGGTCTAAACCAGGTCTAAACCAGGACTAAACCAGGTCTAAACCAGGACTAAACCAGGTCTAAAACCAGGTCTAAACCAGTCTAAACCAGGTCTAAACCAGGTCTAAACCAGGTCTAAACCAGGTCTAAACCAGGTCTAAACCAGGACTAAACCAGGTCTAAAACCAGGTCTAAACCAGGACTAAACCAGGTCTAAACCAGGTCTAAACCAGGACTAAACCAGGTCTAAACCAGGTCTAAAACCAGGACTAAACCAGGTCTAAACCAGGTCTAAACCAGGTCTAAACCAGGACTAAACCAGGTCTAAAACCAGGTCTAAACCAGGACTAAACCAGGACTAAACCAGGTCTAAACCAGGTCTAAACCAGGTCTAAAACCAGGTCTAAACCAGGTCTAAACCAGGACTAAACCAGGTCTAAACCAGGTCTAAACCAGGACTAAACCAGGTCTAAACCAGGACTAAACCAGGACTAAACCAGGTCTAAACCAGGTCTAAACCAGGACTAAACCAGGTCTAAAACCAGGTCTAAACCAGGTCTAAACCAGGACTAAACCAGGTCTAAACCAGGTCTAAACCAGACTAAACCAGGACTAAACCAGGTCTAAACCAGGTCTAAACCAGGTCTAAACCAGTCTAAAACCAGGACTAAACCAGGTCTAAACCAGGTTAAACTAAACCAGGTCTAAACCAGGTCTAAACCAGGTCTAAACCAGGTCTAAACCAGGTCTAAACCAGGTCTAAACCAGGACTAAACCAGGTCTAAACCAGGACTAAACCAGGTCTAAACCAGGTCTAAAACCAGACTAAACCAGGACTAAAACCAGGTCTAAACCAGGTCTAAACCAGGACTAAACCAGGTCTAAACCAGGACTAAACCAGGACTAAACCAGGACTAAACCAGGTCTAAACCAGGACTAAACCAGGTCTAAACCAGGACTAAACAGGACTAAACCAGGTCTAAACCAGGTCTAAACCAGGTCTAAACCAGGACTAAACCAGGACTAAACCAGGTCTAAAACCAGGACTAAACCAGGTCTAAACCAGGTCTAAACCAGGACTTAAACCAGGACTAAACCAGGACTAAACCAGGACTAAAACCAGGTCTAAACCAGGTCTAAACCAGGTCTAAACCAGGTCTAAACCAGGACTAAACCAGGTCTAAAACCAGGTCTAAACCAGGTCTAAACCAGGTCTAAACCAGGACTAAACCAGGTCTAAACCAGGTCTAAACCAGGTCTAAACCAGGTCTAAACCAGGACTAAACCAGGTCCAGGACTAAACCAGGTCTAAACCAGGTCTAAACCAGGTCTAAACCAGGACTAAACCAGGTCTAAACCAGGACTAAACCAGGTCTAAACCAGGTCTAAACCAGGACTAAACCAGGACTAAAACCAGGTCTAAACCAGGACTAAACCAGGTCTAAACCAGGTCTAAACCAGGACTAAACCAGGACTAAACTAAAACCAGGTCTAAACCAGGACTAAACCAGGTCTAAACCAGGACTAAAACCAGGTCTAAACCAGGTCTAAACCAGGTCTAAACCAGGTCTAAACCAGGACTAAACCAGGACTAAACCAGGTCTAAACCAGGTCTAAACCAGGTCTAAACCAGGTCTAAACCAGGTCTAAACCACCAGTCTAAACCAGGACTAAACCAGGACTAAACCAGGTCTAAACCAGGACTAAACCAGGACTAAACCAGGTCTAAACCAGGTCTAAACCAGGTCTAAACCAGGACTAAACCAGGACTAAACCAGGACTAAACCAGGTCTAAACCAGGACTAAACCAGGACTAAACCAGGTCTAAACCAGGACTAAACCAGGTCTAAACCAGGTCTAAACCAGGACTAAACCAGGACTTAAACCAGGTCTAAACCAGACTAAACCAGGACTAAACCAGCGTCTAAACCAGGTCTAAACCAGGTCTAAACCAGGACTAAACCAGGACTAAACCAGGTCTAAACCAGGTTTAAACCAGGTCTAAACCAGGTCTAAACCAGGTCTAAACCAGGTCTAAAACCAGGACTAAACCAGGTCTAAACCAGGTCTAAACCAGGACTAAACCAGGACTAAACCAGGTCTAAACCAGGTCTAAACCAGGTCTAAACCAGGACTAAACCAGGTCTAAACCAGGTCTAAACCAGGACTAAACCAGGACTAAACCAGGTCTAAACCAGGACTAAACCAGGTCTAAACCAGGTCTAAACCAGGACTAAACCAGGACTAAACCAGGTCTAAACCAGGTCTAAACCAGGTCTAAACCAGGTAAACCAGGACTAAACCAGGTCTAAACCAGGTCTAAACCAGGTTCTAAACCAGGACTAAACCAGGTCTAAACCAGTCTAAACCAGGTCTAAACCAGGTCTAAACCAGGTCTAAACCAGGACTAAAACCAGGTCTAAACCAGGTCTAAACCAGACTAAACCAGACTAAACCAGGTCTAAACCAGGTCTAAAACCAGGTCTAAACCAGGTCTAAACCAGGTCTAAACCAGGACTAAACCAGGTCTAAACCAGGTCTAAAACCAGGTCTAAACCAGGTCTAAACCAGGTCTAAACCAGGTCTAAACCAGGTCTAAACCAGGTCTAAACCAGGACTAAAACCAGGTCTAAACCAGGACTAAACCAGGTCTAAACCAGGACTAAACCAGGTCTAAAACCAGGTCTAAACCAGGTCTAAACCAGGTCTAAACCAGGTCTAAACCAGGTCTAAACCAGGACTAAACCAGGACTAAACCAGGACTAAACCAGGACTAAACCAGGTCTAAACCAGGACTAAACCAGGTCTAAACCAGGACTAAATCCTGCTGTGTGGACGTGTTTCCTCGTCTTCTATCAATAATATTTTTTATTTGGTTCAGTAAAATCTGGGCTTTTTCTTTTCTTTTATCAGACAAAACTTCTTATGTGAAGATGTCCTCATCTTTGTTTCTCTACAGCAAATCAAGTAATCCAAAGTAATCCAAAGTAATCAGATTACATTACTCACTTTAAGTAATTTAATGGATTCTGTTACAAACTACATTTTGGGGTGTGTAATCTGTAATCTGTAGGGGATTACATTTTAAAAGTAAACTTCCCAGCACTGAGTATAACAGATCAACTTTTAACTCTGGTGAAAGAGTTAAAAAAGAAGCACAATGTTGATGATGATTCTATGTATAAAAGAATGTGATGTGATGAACGTGTTCGATCACTGAATGAAGAGCTTCATGATCAGGACTGGAGCTCAGGAAACTTGGAGAATGAGAATGAGTCTATAATCATTTTTGAGATATAGTTTTAACATTATACAATAAACTCTGTCCTGTTCAACAATGTGGAACCAAAAAAACAAACCCAAATTGTCCTTGGTTAACAAAGGTGTTACAGAACGCTTATGAAAAGAAAAAAATATCTTTATAAACAATTTATAAAATTTAAAATGAAGGATTCAGAAACAAGGTACAAATTATGTAAGAGTAAGTTGACAGATATTATTCGAAACAAAGTCACATAGCCCCTCTGTAATTAAACCCAACAGAACTTTCTGGTCCAAAACAGTCAGATCCAGAGTGAAGAACTGCCCCAGTCCAGTCGCTTTGGCCTCGTTCATTTTCTGAGTTTTTATTTGAGTCCAAGTCAATTTTCAAAAGAGACACTGAAGCTCCATTTTGTTCTTGTTTCTCTTTGTCTTTTGGTCTCACTGTGCGACAAGTCCAGTTTCTCTTCAGTTTTGTCTCATTTCTTTCACCAGAGTCGCTGAGGAACCAACATCCCACAAAGCAAACCCTGGAAACAGAGGCTCGGAGAAGGACGACGAGAAGGTCCAGATGTGGACCAGTTCTCCATCAGAGGAGATGTGATAGAAGGACAGAACTCCAGCCTCAGAGTCCAAGAACACGCCCACTCTGCCTGAGGACACGCCCCCTCTCTCTGAGTGACAGGAGCGGGGGAGTTGTGTTGTGATGCCGTTGTGATGGATGTAGTATTCTCCATCATCATCTGTCCCCAGACTCCAGGACTGATCATTGAGTCCAAACTCACTCTCTGGTCCCCGTCCTTTCCGTTTGATCCCTCTGTAACTCACTGATATATAAACCTCCAAGCTCCAGTCCACCTCCCAGTAACAGCGCCCCCTCAGGCCAGTGCAGCTCAGGACCTGACTCCAGTCTGTGAACCTGTCCTCATGATCTGGATACTCCTGATTCTCTCTCACTCGAGTCACAGTGCGATGGTCCTCAGACAGAAGCAGACTTCTGTGGGCTGAGTTTGGGTCCAGAGCAAAGTCACAGGAATCTGAAACACAAAACATCTGAATGAACTTGGAAATATTATGATGATAAAGAAAATAAATGTGTGAATAAATAAAAGAGACTCACACTTCCTCAGACCTGGAACCATCCAGCGCTCTCCAGCAGGATCCAACCTGAAACACACAAGTCCAGTTTAGACCAGACCAGGACCGGACCAGGACCAGGACCTGACCAGGACCTGACCAGGACCTGACCAGGACTAGACCAGAGACCAACTGAACAGGCAGCAGGGTGCAGTCTCACCTGACAGACAGCAGGGGGCGCTGGTCCTGTAGAGCGGTCAGGAGCTCGGCGGAGGGTCCTGGATGGTTGTAGCTCAGGTCGAACTCTCTGAGGTGGGAGGGGGCGGAGCTCAGAGCTGAGGCCAGAGCAGCCCCGCCCCTCTCTGAGACCAGACATCCAGACAGCCTAAAGACACAGCATTACACTCATGTGGACACAAGGGGGCAGAGTGCATCATGGGAGCGTCTCACCTGAGCGTCTCCAGGCTGCAGGGGGCGCTCTTCAGTCCAGAACACAGCAGCTCCACTCCTGAGTCCTGGAGGTCGTTGTGACTGAGATCCAGATGTGTGAGACTGGAGGAGCTGAGGACTGAGGCCAGAGGAGCACAGCTGCGAGGAGACAGACCACAGCCACAAAGACTGAGGACAGAGAGGGACATTAGAGACTAGAACCTCCACACAAGAGTTTAAATACAGTCTGGACTCACAGGGCTTTGGTGGAGGCTCTGACCACCGGCAGCAGACCCAGGAGAGCGTTCTCTGAGGCCTGGTATTTCCTCAGGTCAAACTCCTCCAGGTCTGAGTCTGAGGACAGTAAGACGAAGGACAGAGCAGACCACTGAGCAGGAGACATGGTTCCTTCAGAGAGGTATCTTCTCATGTTCTTCTGTATCTCCTGCACCAGACTTTGGTCGTTGAGCTCGTTCAGACAGTGGAGCAGGTTCAGACTTCTCTCTGCAGACAGACCCTCTCCATCCAGCTTCTGTTTGATGAACTTTACTGTCTCCTGATTGGTCCGGTCACTTCCTGTGTGAGTCAGCAGACCCTGAAGGAGCCTCTGATTGGTCGGCAGAGACAGCCCCAGGAGGAAGCGCAGGAACAGGTCCAGGTGTCCATTTGGACTCTGTAAGGCCTGGTCCACAGCAGAGCGGTAGAAGGCCTCAGGCTTTGGACTCTCAGAGGAGTGTGGTGTCTCCAGCAGGTTCTCTCCAGAGCTGTAGAAGGTCTGATGGACGTGAAGAGCAGCCAGAAACTCCTGCACACTCAGATGGATGAAGCAGTAGACCTTGTCCTGGTACAGGCCTGGCTCCTCTCTAAAGACCTGTGTGAACACTCCGGAGTACACTGAGGCCGCTGCAGCGTCCAGCCCACACTCGCTCAGGTCACTCTCGTAGAAGATCAGGTTTCCTTTCTGCAGCTGCTCAAAGGCCACTTTTCCCAGAGACTTCACCATCTCCCTGGTCTCT